CCCTATAAAATGACCAAAGTTTAAATTTGTACTTTGGGGACAACTCCTAGGCTTGCTCCCAGGTCAGACAGCATCTGCAATCCCTGCTGATGAGCAGGGAGCAGTGGTTTAGTTGTGCTTAAAGGGAGGAAAAAAAATAACAAAGTTAAAGTCTGTGGTTCTATAGCACATCCAGAATGTGGGGAAAAAACACAACTAAAACCTGTGCACTCCTGACAGCCCTGTGGAAAGGATCATTCCCTTTGATACAGAACTGCCCTGCAAGCCAAGGCTCCTCAGGGAGCCCCAGGCAGGTTTACAATGGATCTGCTGAGGCAGCACATGGACAAATCCAAAGGAATTGCTTTTTTTGGGATATTTAGGCGGGAGGAAGGAGCAGTCCCAGCCTGCAGCTGGTGCTGTGGGTTTGCAGGGCTGCCACCTGCAGAACTCCCACAAGGAACTCTCACAACCTCTCATCTCTCCTGATCCAGCAGCGCCCCTGGCCCAGCCCCAGCCAAGTCAGAGCCCCCCAAAATCACAAATCAACTCAGGGAGCTCCCTGCAGCCTTCCCCTCCTGGATGGGCCAGCAGATGGGTGCAGGGTGCAGGATTCCTCAGGGGCACTTGCAGAGAAGCCAGAAGGAAAACTAAGAATTAAACTGTCACCTTACAAGTGCTTAAATTGGCAATTTTGAAGGAAATGCCTCCCCTCCTTCCTCTCTCATTTCCCCAAGGCTTGGGGCACCCAGGGTTTCTCTTCTCTGGGGCATGAGCAGCACTGAGCTCCTTCACTTCCCAAACTTCCTGATGATCCTGGGTCTTCCTTGTCTGGAAAACACAAAACTCTGCTGCCATCAGTGACAGAGGAGCTGTTCAGCATCTCTGTTCAATGCCAGCCCTGCCAGCAATAGTGTCCACAATCTGCAGTGCACAATGTAGTGAAAAATCTTCTCCAAAGCAGCCACTGACCCTGCACTTCACAATTCTGGGGGGGCTTTGTTAAATCATGAGTGAGAACTGAACCAAACTGACAGGATTTTACAGAATAAATCCAAATGGTTTATTCAGTCTCTTCAAAATCTGTGTTCCACAAAATCAGGCCATAAGCAATCCTCCTGCCATGGATGAGCTTCATTAGTGTCTAGGCCAGAGATTAAGGGAAGGAAATCACAAGGAGCACAGAATCCCAAGAAACTCACTCTGACAGGCCAAAACCCACAGCAGAAAGCTCAGTAACTTGTAAATAAAAATCAACTTTAACACTGCTATGAAACCACACAACACAATGTGCTCCAACAGGTATTTCTGTCAGCAGAGTGGTTTGTTCTGGAATGAGGAAGCTTTTGGAATAATTGTAAACAAAATCTGATGCATTAACACAGTTTTCTACAGTTTCATTTCAGGTCACCTAAAGTACCCTCAGTCCACGTGCACTGATGTCAAGGTTGAGTTTTGGCCAAGATTTTGCACAGAACTGACACTTAACAGTCCCCAGATGAACATAATCAGGTTTGGGGTTGCTTTTTGGTGTTTTGGTTTGGTTTTTTTCCCCCACATTTTAAAGTTTATAATTTTCTGAGCAGGGAATAAAGTATTTTCAGTCTTACAGTCAACATCACCTTAGCTAAAAAACACACTAAAAAAATAATCCAATACATATTTTTTGCCTCAGATTCAAAATATATTTCAAGCACCTTCATGTCATTTGCAGAGAAAACCTGACATTTTCTGGCCAACAGGTAAAGTACAGAAACATTTTTCATTTGGAAAACAACAGTATAGACCCTGGGACAGGTCACAGAGGGAGCTGCTGCTATGGAGTGACCCTGACCAGAAGCAGATGTGCCAGATGTGCCCCTTGCCAGGCCTGGTACCCTCTCAGTACACAGGGATGCCTCTGGAAGGCTGAGCAGCCAGCCAGGATCACAGTATGGCACTGCCCAGTCCCTCTGGGAGCATTTTGGCTGCTTAGGGGCAATTTCACTTCAATTAATTCTCCCATGAAGGAATACAGGAGGTAGCCTTGAACTGCACCTGCTTTGAAACTAAAGATTCCTCCAAAGCCACTTTTGTAGTGATTTGGCCAAGCAATTACATTCAAATTAACACTTCAAAGAAACAGCTCTGACAAAGCAACTGAAACACTAAATGGGATTAAACAGCTCTGTGCCACACCAAGCACACACAGCACCCCCTGCCCATACAATTTGGATTAAACCCTCTCAGAAATGCATCCTTCCAGTCATTAACCCTCAGAAACAGAAGGCAGAACTTGCTGGTTTGCACCCTAACATCAGCCAGTGGGGCTGGAGCTGGGCTCTGTCCTGTCCCTGGGGGCTCTGGAAGCAAAAGGCAATTGCTGATGGACGGATGGGATCCAAGGGCAGCTCAGAGCACTGAAACATCCTCTGCACTGCCCAATCCCACAGAGACAGCAAGACATCATAACTGGATCCCAAATCCCTGTCATTCCACTAATTCTGCCACATCCAAGGATTCTGCTTCTACAACACAAGAATCACACAAGCAAGGAACACCTTGAGAACTACATCTGATAATCCAAATATTACATTAATGCCATCAGGCACCAAACTGATACCAAAATTGGCATTTGAACCTTGCACAGATAATGAGCACAGTGAGAGCTGAAAAACTGCATCTCTGTGGTCTGGGAGAAATGTGAACAGAGGAGAGAAGGAAGAAATGTTTTATAAATTCACACAAACCCTAAACATCTCCACTGACACAGCAACTGTGCCCTTCTTGCACTGATACCATAATGCACACAGAGTATAACAGCATTTAACACCAAAGCTCCCACCTCAGCACTGGAAAACATGGCAGTATTGTGGAAAATAGAACAAGGAATGGCATCCCCAGCATTTCTGTACTTGCTGTGCAGAGCACTATTTACAGTATTTTCAAACAGCTACAGCAGATGCAAAAAAAAAAAAATCTTACAGTAAAAAGGGAATTTAAATAACCCAAAAATCAGTGCAATTACCTTCTACTTGAAGTTTTCCTTAAGAAAGATGGCATGTGTGCATCAAGAAGCATGTGACCAAATGGAATATAAAAGTACAAAACAAAGGACTGCCCTGCATTGGGAATGGGGAAAGCCACACAAAGAGAGATACTATGGTAGGAGAAGAGTATTAAAAACCAGAAAAACAAGTGAGTTTAATGACACTGGTCTCAAGTGTGAAAAATACTGAGAACCCTTCTTACATTCTTTTAGCTAATGAGTAAAAGATATATTAAAAAAAAAAAAAAGTCCCTTATGGGTTATTTATGCCACCAGAGGTGCTTATTTGACTGAGTCTGCTATTTAATCAAAAGCCTTTAGTCAGGAAAAAAAACTTAAACTCCTCACACCTCCTCTCCAGAAGTTTTAATTTGATAATCCTTGTGGAAAAACCTCTTGTCCTATGTTATAAAAATGATCCAACAAGAACAAGACTCTGTTACAACAAAGGCTGCAGGAGTTATTGAGACAGGCAGAATTAAAGCCAAACCTTCACAACCTTTTTGCTTTGCCAATCAGGGAACCCTGCCTGGGGGCCTGGATGGAGATCAAAGGGATTTGTTACCTGACAGATCAAGAAACAAGGAAATTCCTGCGGAACATGGAAGATCATTGATTGTAATTCACAAAGTCAAACATTCTAAAGCAAGCCAAGCCAAAAAAGGAGCTCTAATAAAACAAGTGACCTTACTCTGTACATCAGTGCATACACAACATGTGTTAAATTGCATAGGGCTGTCTAAAATGCCACATAAAGCAGAGACAAATCCACCTCCCTCCAGCAATTCCCACAGGACATTTGCTGCTCAGGATCAGCTCAGTTGTTTCCTGGGGGCTGGAACAGATGGAGTGGACTGGTGACTCAAATTTGTGACTGGTGGCACAAATTTGGTTATTGCTGAGCTGACCTGCACAGTGACCCAGACCCAGAGCTGTGACCTCAGCCGGCACTGCTCCACCACAGCCTGGGGCAGACTGAGACTTCTTGGGCTTTGTGCTGACCTGAGATGTTGCTGTTCTATACCAGACATGTGGGAGGTACAGAAGAAAAATAATTCTAGGATTTTATGTGCTTGTGGCAGATTTTTTTGGACAGGAGACATTCTTGAATGTGTAATTTATGTTAGAAATATTCCCAGAAAGAGAGGTGCTGCACTGCCAGCATGCTGTACTTCACAAGGTATATACCTAATCAGTATTTTTTTAAATGCTTTAAATTATTCACTAATTCACCACTGGTGGGAGGGAAAAGGAGGGAGACACAAGTGAGCCATGAGGGTTAGAAATTAATTTGCCCATCACCAAATAAATACAGACCTACTGTACAACTTTACCCATTGTGGAGTCTTTCTGTGAATCGCAAGGCATAAATAATTAGCAGTATTAGAGGCTTAGAAAGGTCTGTAAAAGGTAAAAATGTCCTGAAATGCACATAAACATCCCAAGTTCTTCATACTTAGGGAAGGAAAGCTACATAATTTCTGCTTGTTCCAAGAGGATCCACAAACAGCTACTCTCAGATTAAGGTCCTGCCTGAAACTCCTTTTCTCACAAAGGAAACATCTTAAATAGGATGCAGTGCAGTCCCAGGCTGCTTCAGAAATGAGATTTGAGGTCAAGACAGATCCTGCCCTCCTCACCCCATCTGATCACCTGTACAATTCCACTGTCCCAGATCTGCATGGAAAGAGGGGGATGAATTTCACATCCAAGAGGTCTCTGCATAACAGACAGCAAATAAGTTAAATGATGCCTTAAAATTGATGATCTTTATCCTATTTGATAAGAAGAATTCATACAAAAATAATTCTTATATAAAACTCTGCCAAATGAATATCTTCACTGAAATAGGAAAGCTCTGAAGGAAACACAGAGAAGTGCAACACACCCACCACGGGGAGGATCTGCAGCGTGAGGGGAGGTAGGTACAACCTCGCTGGCACACAGCAAGACAGACAATGCTACCCTAAGATTTGCTTCAAATTTACACAAATCTGAATTTATAGAACTATGACCAAGAAGACACTCTGAGCCAGCAGCCTAATCACCCAATTAGAATAGTACAAATATGATTATTCCATTAACAGGTTTTACATGTCACCTACAAAACACTGACAACTGACACACTGCTACAAGGTGAAGATCTGAACTGGAATTATGTACCTAAAAAAGTCTTGATGCAGCAAAGGTTGGGCATTTTCTAGCTTATCCAACACCACCTGGTGGCAGCTGAGCTGCTCTGTGGCCCAGAGCTCTGCATGGCTTAAAGCTACTTGCCCATCCCAGTGGCCAGAGGTAAAAGTGTCCAAAGAGAGACTGAGCAGCCCAGAGAAAAGGGAAAAGACAAACCAAAATCCATCAGTGGAGGAGAATGAAAGTTTTCCAACCTGCCTCTCAGCATCTTATTTCACTTATCCCATGGAAAAACAAACAAGATCAAGTCAGCATAAACAACTTTCCTGGGCTTTTTCCATTTTCTCCTAAACCTGCTCGTGGCATTGTCATTAGTGCAATGGTTTACATGTGTGTTATGGTTTTTATGAATCCAGTGTGCAAACTAACAGAAGCATCTGTCTCATAATTATCAGTTTTAATTAATGCTTCTCCTAAGAGAATGGCAAAACTCTCACCTTTCCTACAGATCTTATGCATAATGAAGAGAGCTTCACCTCCCTCCCTAAGTAAACTTCAGTTTCCTCATTTTTATCTTTACTGCATAGATTCTCTGACTTGTGCCTAACTTCCAGCGAGCCACTCTCCTCTAGCAGAGCTCCTGCTTCACCACTACTCAACATATAAATAAAATACAAATTGTTTTGTGCTTGAATGGATGTAGGATGTTGGTCTTGTGTGCGTCTGAACCGCAGAGGTAAATCCTGCTGTGTTGAAAAAGCCTTTCTGCAAATCCCAAGCTACAACAGACACTGGCTGCATCTCTCTCCTCTCATCACATCAATTGCATATTTTTTTTTTTTGCATTTGAAGAGTAATGTCCCCACAAAAAGGATCTTACTTTCTAAGTTCAAAGCATTCTTGATATGTTAACAGAAGTATAAAGAGCACTCCTTAGTAAATAAAAATAAATAATAGCATCTAGTCTATCACATTAATACTGTGAAACATACATAAAATTTACATTAACTCAAACAACAGTGAAAAAGGATTGTACTGTATTTATCACCACAGACCCGTATTCTTTAGAGACTTTGGAAAGTAAGTGTCACAGTCCTGTATGACAAATCCTAAAGTTAGCTGTCAGTATGATTTTAAAAAAAACTTTAGAAATTTTTTTAAATGGCACATTTTCTTCTGCCAATCTAACTGGAGCTATTAAAAGCTTAGGTACAGGTTTACTATTTTCTTTTTTTTTTGTTTTCAAGTTCATCTTTAGTCTATGAAAAACATTTTAAAATGCAGCACAATAAAAAACATTCAAGAACAAGCTTCAGAAAATACATTTGTCCTTAGACACACAGAGAATAATCTGAGAATAATCTTTATAAGACAATTAGAAACCAGAATTTTGTCACGCTCTTATTTGGAAAATAAAAATTTTGTAAATGCATCTAGAATAAACAAGGCTTCATAAATACTCAAAAAATGCTTTGCTTTCCTTTGTACTAAAAGCTGATTCACAGCGTTTTAGCTCATCAAACCTTAGTATGAATTAGATCTTTCCAAATTACCAAAAGCAACTCAATGAACAGCACACTGAATGAGGAGTTTTGTAGGTTGGATTGTTGGTTTGGTTTTTTTGTTTATCTTCCCTAAGCCCTGAGATTGCAGCTCTTGATTTAATTATAAAATCTGGGTCTGTTTTATACCAAGCAGCTCAGAGATTTTTGGCAAACCACATTTCCGACAACAGCGGGGTTTGGTACAAGAACGCAGTTTGTGATCAAGTCTGAAATTCTGGACGGAAGGCTTCCTTGCAAATGGGAAGGAAAGGAAGGAATAAAGATGCATCACTCATTGCTGGCTGTCCCTGGGCTGGGGCATCTGTTGGTCTAAGTGCAGCTGGTCTGGTGTGAATCCAACTCTGCCTTGTCCGGAGCCGCGGAACATGAGAAGGTGTCAAGCAAAGTACATCGTGCGCAGCGTGTCCTGGTGCACCTGGACTGCCTTGGCAAGTGCTTGGTGGTCTCTGCCATTGCTCTGGCCAGAAGTGTGGCTTCCTTCAGCACTGGAAGAGAAGGGGAGGGGGGAAAAACAAAAACCAACAGGTTGGGGGGGAAGAGAAACCCTATTGTCGCCCTGATTTTTAAGATTTTCTAAGCCTTCTGATGTTGACATTCTTGTAACGAACTTTCTTACACACTTTCTGTAAATAACTCATTGTTTTGCATTCTTTTATGGAGGAGGAGAAATTTGATGGACTGTTGGTTTGTCCAGTGTCATTGGAGAGGTGTCACTTTCACCCTCCAGTCCACTGTCACTTTTGGAAATCTATAAATGTTGGAGTCAGAAAATAAACTCCTCTTTTTTCACCTTGAGAGCAGCGGTGTGTGCGCATTGTGTTTTTTGTGTCCTATAGTGACACCCTACTTAATCTGCCTCTCCTGGCACAGGTTTCTGTACCATTACTTTCTTCTGAACAGAATAAGGGTAATGAATGTTTGACCAAAGCACCACTGAGGTTCTGAACCAGCCAACAGCACATACAGGAAACTTCTTCTGCTTTGTTTCAGCAGTGAGAGCAAATCCAGCCTCGAACTGCTGAGGACATCACTGACCCCAGAATTAACAAGCCCCACTGCCTTCCAATTCTGCAAAAGTGCAAACCTCTGAACTCACCTATCGTGCTCCTTATCCACCAGATGGTACCTGGCTCTGAAGGCCACCAGGTGAGCGTAGTAGGCGGGGGCAGGGATGGAGACGGAGCGCGTGCAGCGCACGTAGGTGTGGCACAGCTGGTAGGTGAGGATCTGCAGCTCGTCCGACGAGAAGCGATTGTCATCCCACAGCACGTGGTAGTGAGAGGGCCTGCTTGTTCCCTGCAGCCAGAGCACACAGCTCATCAGCATTCCCAAACATCTCCTGAGCTTCCAACCTCTGCTGGGAGCTGCAGGGAAATGGCTGCTTCCTCAAAAGCCACGGGCAGCAGCTCTACACATTCTGGCTGGTTATTCCTTTAAAAGGTAAACAATCTCCTTCCTTGCTGCCTATCAAACTAATCCCTGCCCTTTTATTGGTAGGGCTGTGTTTCCCAAAATTTCACCTCTGAAATGCACTTTCATCTTGAAACCCTCAGATCTGACAAAAAGCCATCAGACATTAGTACAAACAGTTACCGTGCCTTACCTGAATCCCAGCATGACTACACAGGTAGAAGTCAAACTCGGAGGGGTGGGTGATTTTTGTGTCCACTGTGGTACCAGCTGGAATGTTTCCACTTTTTCCAACCTGTGTAAACAGGAAATGCAAAGACATTGAGGCACAACACATAGGGGTTTTTTTATTTTTAATTGTATAGACAGGAAAACAAACACAAGAAAAAGATCTATATAAAACAGAAAGTGAAGAAAGAATGTGCAAAACTGAAATTTTGTTCCAACTGAAAATCTGCAGTGTCTCTGTTATGGAGAAAGAAAAAAAGAGATAAGCTGCAAAATCTTTGTAAAATTACCTAAAAAATTTGGTTTTCTGAATAATGTAAAAAATTTCCTGCAACTGACTTGACAAATTCTTTTCACCTTCCCACTCCAGGACAGGAGTAACTTTTCCTGTTTATTACCTGCAAGGGGACAATCATTCCTTGTCAGACAGGCCACCTCTTCCCTCAAAATCTCTTCAAAGCAGAATGTCAAAATACTCTTTACTTTTAAACAATTTAACATCTGTAACCACAGTATTTATTAATATAACAACCATGTTCATGTCAGCTTTGGGAGTTACTAATTATTGCCTTGAAGCCTGGTGGGGTCCAAGTGCTCCCACAGAAAAGCCTGACAGAAGGAAAAAGGGAAAGCCCAATCTGGAGCAGAACTTTGCCATGAGGAACTCTCCATTCTCAGCAACAGCTCTTGAAGAGTCTCTTCACACAGGAAGTACCAAAAATCAAACTGGGGAGTCTGATCTCCCGTCACAAAGTACCACAAATGAACAGAATTGGTGACTTGGCTGCCTGCTGGAGCTCTGGGGTGCCAAGCAGAACGTACCCGCTCGTTTTTATCCGTGCAGAAGAGTCTGGTGTGGTGCCTTTTCTGCACCACTATGAATGTGATGCCAGGCTGATAATCCTTCTCCAGTTTAATGCAAGCCTCCCTGATAGCCAGCAGCTCGTGGTGGAGAACCTGGGACACACAGAGAGAGGTGGGATCAGCATGAACCATTGCCATCATACAAATTCCTCTTATTTATCTACACATTTCTTTTATTTAGCCACAGATAATTTATCATGTTCCTTCTTTCACTGTCACTCAGAGTAATGAGATATCAAAGCTTTCGGGACCAAATCTCAATTTCTTCCCCTGATGAGGGCAAATTACACCAACAAGTTCCTTAGCCAGGAGAAAGCTGCTTCCATATTTGTTCAGCTCCAAGCACGAGGCTTGGACTAACAATCTGCATGTCAAAATCTCCTTAACTACCAAATATAAATGAACATTTAATTAGGCTGCTGAATACAACAGAATAATTATTTTTCACACTAGAACAAGGGATAAAATCCAGAAATGCTCAGCTGCTCTTTCCCAGCTTTCTGCAGTTCCGTGCAGGACTACAGACATCAATAAGGAAAGTGGAACAAACCAATAAACCAATTATTCAGTCTGTGGGTTAATTGTACATGAAAACTTCCGTGAAAAGCAATAGCAAATGAAAAGAGAATATATCAAAAGTTCATACAAAGATTATTTTATCAATTCAAGTTTAGCAACCTTGACCTTTCCTCTTTTCCCCCTAGATTTTGAGAGGCTGATTCAATTCTGTATCTTTTATTTACATACATAAATACTGGAAAGAAAAGTGTATATAAATGTCTTTAAAATATATAGAAAAATATTTCATAAAATATGGTACTAACAAGCAAACAAAATAAATATGACAGAGGATCTGATGAGTTTTATCAGTATAAAAATGACTGCGACAATCCAGTATTTATTAATCCTGCATTAAAAAAATATATAATTATTTTTTACTGCCCAAGTTCTATAGGATACACTCTGACTAATATATCCTAAATAGGAAACAGATGTGGAACATAACTTGAGTGCTAAAACTACACTTTTCACTTCTAATTCTGTCAGGGAAAATATTTTAAAGGGGAAAATTACTTTCAAAAGCACATGAAAAGTATGCAAACACTTCTCCTGCTTGCTTGGTTGAGGGAAGATTTATTGAGCTTATACTTCTTATAACTCCAACCACATAGAGGTGGAATTTTAAAATCCCATTACTACCACGAAACTACACGATAAGAATTTCAAGAAGAAGTGTATCACCTGTTGGAACTGCCCCTCAGAAACACCATCCCTGTAGAAGATGATTCGAGTTGGTTTGAACCTGGTGGATTTGTAGAACTGGATCAGCAGCTCTCTGACCATGGCAGCCAGGTCCTGGATGATTTCCTGCCGGTGCTGCTGCACCCGCACCGTGGCACAGTAACGGTTGGGATGAGCATCCATGCTTCCCACAACCTGGAAAAATGCTTGGCATCAAACCAGAGAGCACTAAAATAAAGGTTATTTCAAGGGATAAATGCACTGTTTTGAACACTGAGTGGTTGGCTTGGCAATGATGTATTTGAAATTAAAATGTGCTTGGAAACAGTTCTGGGTTTAGTCCACCTGTGGCAGCACACCCTGCTGAAACAGAAAATTGTTTTAAATCTAAAAGACTCATTTCCTGTTTGCACCTACAGGCACTTAAAAACTCAAATACAGTTTGGAGCATTGATACCATGAAACCATTGAGATAGTTCAGACTGTGGCATAGGAGTTGGAATTCTGAGACAGCAAGCCTGTGTTTTGGATCCATCAAACTGAAATGGTGATGGACCACAGAAATATCCACACCCTTTATCAAGGGAAGGGATTTTTCTGATAATGAAACATTAACATCCTGTAAAAGTGGCATGGGTCTTAAAAACAAACAAGCAAAAACCTAAAGAAGTGAGCACATCTCTGTCACCATCACATTTTCTGAAAAATCCCTTTGCCAGGATTTCTCTCCTGGGAAGCTGAGAAGCCTCAGAGAAAAGGAAAACAATATTATCTCATTTGCTTCTCCTGTATTTTGCTGATTTGGAATGTGGTTGGAGATTGTTTATCCAACATGTGAATTTTTTTACTTCTTGGCCAATGATGGCCAAACTGTGTTGGACTCTGGAGGAGTCACGAGTTTTTCTTAGTTTTTCTTTTTTAGCCCTCTGTAAGTATCCTCTCTCTATTCTTTAGTATAGTTTTAGTACAGTATTCTTCAATATAATATAGCAACATAAAATAATAAATTAGCCTTCTAAGAACATGGAGTCAGATTCATCATTCCTCCCCTTGATGGGGGTCCCAGAAAACACCACACAGCTCCACCTGGTTTTCCCTGAACACACAGGTGTAAGTTTTTAAAACAGATCCATAACATCACCGAAGAACTTCATTATTAAACAATCCTGAGCAGCCACTACAGGTGTTTGACATAATCCAAGCAAAAGAGCATTCCCTGTATTTATTTAAGAAGGACATTTCCAAGAGATTAGTGCACATTTTGTGTTTTCTGGAAGCTTGAGTCCCCAGAAACCACAGCTGAGCCATCCTAGTTCCCTATCAGCAATGAAGAAATTCTGAACATTTCTAAGTGCTGAAGAAGCAGATTTAAACATGCACCAGCTCATTATCAGCCTGCTAATAAATATCAGCTCCCAAAAAAGCTCCTCTGTGTATCAGCAACTCAGGCATTTTACAAGCTAATACACACATTTAAGTAATTAGCATCAGAGCAAGCTCTCTGAAGTTTCAGTAAATTCCTGCAGAAAAATAATTTATAATGCTATAATTAGGCAATCAGAAGCAATGGACCACAAAAGGATTGAAAGCAATAAAATGCATTAGAGCTGAGCAGCAGGAGGGAGCTGGGGGAAAGAGCAGGACACAATTTACTCACTGCAGCAATGGAAGGCTTCTTCCCATCCCCAGCTGGAGGGTGAGTTACATCTGCACCAAGGAATATGACAGGCTGCTGGAATACTGGGGGTCTGGCAAGGAGAAGGGAAATTTGTCAAAGCAGCAAGATTTATGCTTAATAAAGCACATTAAAACTCAAATAAACAGCACTCTGTACTCCTGCAGGGAATTCATCAACAACTGGCACTTGATCAGAGTTGGTCACTTGTTCTGTGGCAGGAATTAAAAATCCTGATTTAGTTCTCATGCTAAATATTTAGGCAGATTTTTAAAGCACAGCTAATTGTTGCTCTTAATTAAAAATTAGTTTTAAAATATATCTAGTTTTTTCTAACTTGAAGAATTGCAGTTTTTACCAACTGGAGCAAAGAAAGGAGTAAAAGTTGATCCCATAGTAACAAATTGCATCTGAGAAAATTAAATAACTGTGCACATATGCAGATGCTGTGAAAAAATATATTCTTCCTAATAAAAAACAGTCTTGGTAAGGAAGTCCAAAAATAGTAGGTATCAAAGTTATTGCTTGCAAAGTAGATTTTTTTATAAACTAAGCTGGAAAGTTTTAAACAAATCTTCAGGTTAAGATATTGAACCACTGCCCCAAGAGAGAACACCAAAGCACTACAACACAGGTTTCAAACTTCAACTCTATTCCTTAATGAAACAATTTCAAACAGGAAATGTTGGGCCACCATAATTTCTTTGTGGGGGAATGATTTAATGGCTAAGAAGATTAACTTATCTGTTTGCAGACCTTCTTTAAAAGAAATGGGAAGGTAATGTTGGGGATTAGGCTTTTTTGTTTTTTTGTTTTTTATTGGGTTTTTTCTTCTCTTGGGGAATTCTATTCTCATTTATTGCCTAAGAGATGATGAATGGACTGTACTTAAGAGACACAAAAAATAGCTGGGTGTCTTGGAATTCTGTTAATTTTTTGTTGTCGTTTGGGTTTCGTTATTGCTGCTATTGTTGCTTTTTTGTCTGTATATTTATATCTATATCTATATATTCTAGTAAAAAACTGTTATTGCTTTACCCCCATCTTTGCCTGAAAGCCCCCAGAGTTACAATAATTTGGAGGGAGAGGGTCATCTTTTCCATTCCAGGAAGATTCCCACCTCCCTTGGCAGACACCTGTCTCCTAACCCAGCAGAGTTTTTGGGGCCCAGTGTTGGGCTCCAGGGCATTGAGAGGAAATGATGAAAAAGGAATAATAGTTTCTGAGTAACCTAATTTTGTGTGAACACAGAAACCTCCTTAGGCACCATGTGGTCTAACTCACACTGGTTGGGCTGCCACATGGTTGTGGATACATTTTGTGCTCTCATTTGCAGCTCCTTATTTAAACATGGATCCTATGACTTAGGCTGCTGTGGCTGTTACCCAGTCTGCACAACAGGTCAATAAGGTGAGCAATTCCTGGATTTTTTCCTCTGGCATGTGGACACATGGCTGTACAACCATCACAGGCTAAGCTCATGTCTGGGGGGTTTCACCATTAATGGTGCCCATTGTGAGGAAGCAATAAAGGGGGAGTCTTTCCCCAATTCTTCACCCATTTCTTTGGATGTACCCCAGCACCTTCCAAAGGGTTCAAACTTTTTTCTAGATGCTGATATCATACAATGGCTGCTGTTGCTGATAGGCCTAATCTATTTAGCATTTAGAGTATTCCTCTCCTGTCTTCATAACCCAACTTTTGCAGGACTATTTATTAGAAGCCAAAAGAGTTTGTCTGAAGAGTCACTGAAGCTGCAGTGCTGTGGCTGCAGATAAAGGCTCCCAGTTATGTCAGCATGTCTCACATTCTCTTTGCAATACAAAAACCTCTTCCCTTTTGAAAGATGAACTTACCTTCCCTGTGGCAGTAGAATGTTATTCACACCTCCTAATTTGACATTTATTTTTAAGCAGAGGTTGGACAGAGTCTGTGGTGTTGTTCTTTGGACGTTTTTCATCTGCACACACTGAGTGGCCATTCCCAGCACCGTGTCCCCAACGCGCTTCACCTCCGCTGCACAATGAGAAAAACAAAATAAAAAATTTGCAAATTGCAAATCAAACCATGGAGAAGACTTGAATTTAACTACAATTAACTACACCTGGAGTTTTAGCACAGTGGGGCTCAAGCTTAAAGGAACACAATGAAACTTAACCCCAAACCTACCCAGCCTCCAGAACCTCCCCCAGCTCTGCTCTGCTTCACCTAACCAGTCCTAAATGCAATAACTAAAGGCACTGCTGGCTTATTTTAACTATGATTTTTTTAAATAGTTCTTATTTTACAATTGTAGCATCATTTCATCAGCTTTGGCTAATGATGTGGGCAATGTGGATAAAATTAAGATATTGAGCACTTGTTGCATTATTAAACACCGGAATAGTAACACAAATCTAGCAGTGCTGAGCAATACTCAGCCAAGCAGTTCATCAGTTCTTCACTGCAAGTTCATCACTTGCATAGCAAAGTGGCCAGCTCAGCAGACAATGGTCCATAAAAACTCCAAGAAACTCATTAAGCACTGTACAATTCCAATGGTTAAATCAAATCCTATTGTTAACAACAAAATCAAGGCTTTCAGAGACCCACACACTCTTACACCCAGGGAAGAAATTTAGGCTCCAAGATTGGCTCAGAGAAGATGAACCCTCCTGTTTGGCAACAGGAGAGGGAAAGAGCAGGGTGGGAAGAAAAGACAAGATTGTGGGTATGGGAAGTGCAGGGTATGGAAGAGCATGGGGAGAAAATCAGGAGAGATGATTAGAGGGGGCAGAAATAACTATAATTAAAGGTAATGACAAAGAAAGAAGATCAGAGTGGTACCACATCCTCTCAGTGGTTAAGTAGAGGAAAAGAATTCCCTTTTAATGCCAAACAGGAATAGTAAAAATGTCATTTTGCACCAAATTTCTATTGCACAAATTAGAGATGAGCAACTTCCTTTGCAAGCTGAATTCAAGGGGGAAAAAGTATTATTTCCTTAAGGTTCCTTGCTTAATCTCTTTTCATCTTGTAGCAGATTAATATTAAAGTTGGAAAATTATTATGTGCTATATTAAAATGGTGAGGGATGGCATAAAACAAATCTGCAGCTGCTTGGTAGATCTGATAGACCAGACAAGAGTGCACACAGCTATGGGAGAAAAACAGTGGCTGCTTCTCCAGCTGGGCAAGGTAAGTGAAAAAGGAGGGAGGCAGGACAGGAAAAAAGCAGTCCTGCCTATAGGAAGAGCTGGAAAATGCATTGTTTATGTAGAACATATTAAAACCCATGTGTGTATGCCATGTAAAATGCACCAATTGTCACTGTTTCAAAAATAACTTTTAGTTTGCTGAATTTTCATTTTCTATGCACCTGTATCCTTGCAACCCAAGTTAAAAAACTGAAATTAAACGAAAAATAGACTGAAATCTCCTTCACTCAACATTTTTTGCCAAAGGGAGATTGTTTGAGTGAGCAAATATGTTCTGAAAGGTAAAAGAGTTCTTGAAGTCATTACTTCTTCAGTCACTTGGAATTTTCAGCACACAAGTTTTATTAAGCATATTATAATCCACTGCCTATCAATGCCAATCTCACCAAACTCTGTGCTGGCTTTCTCAAATACAACCATCAGGGAGAATGGGAAAAAACAAATTAAAAGCATAGAGAACACACTGAAAATACTTAGGTCTTAATATAAAACATCACACAGCACAAGAAAAATAGTAAAATTAATTTACAGCTCATTCCCTAACTGGAATTTATAGAGTTAAACCAGCATTAAACCTCCCTCCTTTGGACAGCTCACAAAAAACACACAAAGCTGTGACTGAAATGCACCATTTGCACTCACTGACCATAGACTGGTGTTTTTCCTGGCAGAATGACCACGACCAGCTGCAGCCCAGTGTAAGTGTTCTTGAGGTGTCTGAACATGGGCTCCACGCTGTCGGCTCCCTGCGCGTATTTACAGAAGCAGGGCTGCCCCTGGATTGGCATCCCAGCATCCCTGGAAATCTTCCTCAGCTGCTCTGTGAAGGACCTGGGCAAGGCACAGAAATACATTAAATTATCAGTCAGTCAAAACCCATCTTGGTTTTTGATCTTATTTTTAATGGAACAATCCTGTTAAACTTGCAGAGTTGTGCTTTCAAAAACCTGGGAATTTAACCCCATGTGCATCTTTAATTGTCTGTATAGTCACTGAAGACAAGACAGGAAATATGCTGTATAAATAACACCATTAATGAAAAAAAACAATTTCCAAAGCAAATTCTACCTTATTTCTATGTGAAATAGAGTAAAAAATACTTTTTGCAATAACGACAATTTGGCATAGCCTGCTCTAACATAATTCCATGTTACCACCAGAGAAAGGGCTGGAGTTATTCCTTTTTTTCCCCTCATGATGAAAACAATCAACAGAAATTACCAGCAATTGTCTCAGTGAATTGCTTTAGCATCCATAATAATGCACAATTTCACAGATGCCAGAGAAAATGTGTAAAATCCTGGAGGTGAAGGCAAATTTTCTCCTAGGCTGGTGGAAAAAAATCACCCTTTGATGGAAGTGGTCAGATATGGAGATAAATTTCTTCAGAGGCTTCCACCTGAGAGCCTTGTTAGCTCACTGCTAAAAGCCCTTTATTTATTAACCTCCCCACAGTTGTCTAAAACATCGCTCATCCCCACCACAGGGTGCCAGGGTATCACTGGCTGAGAGGGTGTGAAGATTGAGCTTCTTCCAAACCTGTTGTTAACTTGGATCAGTCATAAGAGCCTGTGAGCTCCAGCCCTGCAGCTCCTTGCAGAAAATGGAGATTTCCTCTGGAAAAACAAGCACTCACTACAGCAGAGTCAGTGGCAGAACATCTCCCCATCCCTGGGAGTGTTCAAGGCCAGGCTGGATGAGGCTTGGAGCAACCTGGTCTAGGGGAAGATGTCCCTGCCCATGGCAGAGGGGCTGGAACAAGATGATCTTTAGGGTCCCTTCCAACCCAAACCCTTCTGTGCTTTCAACATTCAAGTCTGAAACAAGTCAGGGTTGAGTCCATCTGGAAGTACAGTGCCTGCTGTAGGAAGGAAAGGTTCTCTCTCTGTTCCCAACAGGTAAAGCAGGATGATTTTGAAGATTTTAGAGCATTTGAAGGTGTTTCCTCTGATGAATCAGCAGCATTTGAGTTCCAGCTTGATCAACAAGATGTAACAAGAGACCACAAGATGGAAAAGGATGCAGACATTTTCCTGGCTTCAAGCAATGTCTGTTCATGGTAAATAAAAACTCATTCTAAGCCATCCAAATAATTTTATTTTGGCTCATTATGTCCAGGACTTCTGCCTATTTCTCAAAACTGAGTAACTTGGCTTACACAGCATTTCCACTAGAAGCAACATCATGGAAAGGAAAGTTCTCTGGCAGCCCAGTTCCTCACATGTGCCTGGAGAGAACAAGTCCCTCCCTTCCTCACACAATGGGTAGTAAAAGATTCCCACTGTCTGCTCATCACTTGTTAAGGAAAAATTCCCAAGCTGTTTAGCAAACCATGTGAAGGAACAGTGCCCTGGCAATGCCACTGGTGTGAGCAATCCCTGCCTTGCCTTCACCACCCAGAGAGCAGCTGAGTCACTGCCAAGGCTGCTGCACTTGGCCATGCATGAAGGGAAAGCAGCTGCACGTGGAAGGAGGGATCAGACATGGATCTGGGCCTGCACACCTTCCCTGAGCCAATGCAGATGTCACTGTAACAACAATCTTTGAACAATCCTGTCCCATCCTAAAATAAAGAAACCACATCTGGAAGTTTCATTCAAACACCTAAAGGCAATGGAACAACCAGTCCTACTCATCTGGCAAATACAGCAACTTGCACATTCCAGAAACTCTGAAGAGGAAAAGGTTTTGGACAAGAAATTTCCTTTTAAAGAAATTCTGCATGAATAAATCCACTCCATATAACCAGGACAGAGAACACACATGTTAGCTGTCACTCCTGAGAAACATTCAGTGATAAACACCCATCATTACATCATTTCTGTTATCTTAAACCCTGTGCTAAGGATTGACAGGTCAGAAATCTGCCATAAAGCAGAAATGGATTTTGTTAATTCTGATTTGGAGGACTCCCTGATGCTGGCATTGAAATCAGACTGGCATCACTCAAAACACAGACACAGAAGATGTATTGCTGTGTGTTGAACAATTTAACCAAAAATATGTTCTTAATAAAAGTGAAATCATGACATTTGCATCCTTAATAAATGATAAAATCAGCACCTTACACAACACTTACTTCAGATGAACTTCAGTGCACTGGCGCTGGGGAGCAAAGCAGGCAATTGCCCAAACCTTGATTTCGATTCCAGTGTGAAATTGTTTATTCCTCATGTCCCAGACACCTTGCACTGGTGTAGCAATTGCTTTATTCTGCAAGTGGAAGGTAAAAATTAAACATTAATGCAAAACTTGATTGATGCTAAACAAAAATGAGCTTTGCTTCTACTTCCCTCCAGGTGGAGGTGATTTATACTCTCAGGTCACTCTCTCCCCTGTACAAACATCCATCCATCTTATAATAATCATTTTATCACTGTAGCACACAGCTTCTTAGCCAGGTGAAAACTAAAACTCACATTGTTCATTTTTATTGCTGATCATTGCCTTTGGTTTGCAATTGTCAGCAGCAAATAGAAATTATATATGGGAAGTAAGACTCATGCTTGGTATGGAAAGTTAAAAGAATCTGCATTTCTACAGTGACTTTACAACTGCTCAGTGAACTTTCCAAGGGAAAGTTAATTTAAGTACTATGAATATTTTACACATCACTAAGTAGAGACAAATAGTGGTTCAATGTCACTCACACAACTCTAGAAAAAATGTGAACAAGCTGAGAAAGGTGATCAGTTATTCAACATTTTTATTTCTCCCACCAAGCAGATATTACTGGGATGGATTATCTAGAGGACAAGGGATGTAATAAAGCAGCTAAAAGTAATTCTGGTGATGTTAATTACCTTAATAAATACTGATAGATGCTTTAGACAAGTTACCATGATGCCTTCCTTCTCACCCAGCAACAGCAACTAAAGCTTCTGGGCATTTTTCAGGACACACACATGAATCTGATCATGGATTTTGCAAAGAGTTGTGTGTGCTGAAGGCAGTGCCTCCCCAATATGACTTTCAACTTTCATCTGCCAGTAAGTTCCCCCAGCCTGTTCATAAAATCTCATAAAAGCAGTGCCCTCATCAGGGTCAGGCCTGGGGTACCTTAACCTGCCAGGGAAGGGAGGTTTGAGCTCATTTGCCTGAAGAATTTTAGGCAGGAAACTCAAGATCCTCTCCCATTATGGGTTTGGAGGCTCTGCTGTGCACAGGGACAGAATTTTATTCAGCTGGCAATGCATGATCTGAAGAGATTCTTTAAAAGCCTCCACAAATGAAATTGTCCCAGCTATTAAAGCTTTCATCTTGCAACAAGTCCCAGTCTATAACTGATGGAAAATCCTGTTTCTCAAGCTTTTTTTTAAAAAGATATCACACGGCAGAAAGATTCTGTCAGAAAGGCCCTCTGAAAAGCCATTGGAAAATAAAAATCTGAGGGTAAATATTCCAAACAGGAAGAGACAGCTCTAGGGAAAGACTGATAGAGATGATAACTCAAGACAGCTGCCCTAAGCACAGCTGCTCCACCCAGAATATTCAAAACCAGCCAGAAGTTCAGGAATATTTCAGCATATTTTCAAATATATACAATGACAATTAAAATAGTCTTTGTTCTCCATACACATTGATTTGAACCACTATTTGCAGGCTGCCTCTTACAACACACAATGAAAGACTGGGCTGTAAAACCTGATTAAAGTAATTTTATTTTCTTTTATCCTAAATTTGAGGATAAAGCCAACATAAGGCTATTTAAAGACACTTATATTTAACTCATATTACCTGTTTAGAGCTTTGATATGGGAAAGTTCAGCCGTACTAAACTTTGTTCTTTGCTTTCTAATTAAATATAATTTGCACAGCGGTCTTAAATGACTTGTGTCACAGCAGCAGAGTGTTTGAGGCAAAAAAGGCATTTTAACCCAGTTTTACTTTCCAAAATAAAACAGCAATCAGAAGAGATGCAAATCAGCCAATACATTTAAGGACTTTGAGAACCTAAATTCAAATTCACACCCATGCCTGCTGTCTGATTGCACACAACACAATTAATTTAAAATAACCACGTTACAGAGGCCAGCACAGACTGTTGGACATACCCTGCCTCCATAGAGGATGGAGGGAGGCTGAAGGACCCTGCCAGTCACATCTGTCATTTCATCCTTGACCATGATCCCAAACTCCCTCACGTAAGGGTCCGTGTTGAAACTGGCGCTCCGCATCTGAAATGATCAAAATGTACAAAACCAAGCTCACACATATCCTGTGTGCAGGGCACAAACACATCAGCACCTGCTACAGGTGAGCAAAATTAAACCCATTCCCACCTCTGCCTCATGTCTGGCACAGCACTCACCAATTTGCTGATCTCTTCCTGCCTGTCCGGGGCTGATCTGGCAGTGGCTCGGATCATAGTGGAAGTTTGATTGTCAGTGAGTTTCTTGATGCATCTTTGTCCTGCCACTATGTTGCACACCTGAAATTTCCCCACAGAAAGAAAATTAAACATAGTCCAATTCCTTTTTTTTGGCTCGTGGCTTTTCTTTCACTGATGCACCACAGAATTTCTCAACATTTTGCTGCTCAAAAAACAGCTTGCCAATATTTTAACCCATTTTCCCTCTGACCCCCTTCCCCCAGCCCCAAAATACAGAATTCTCTATGAGTTTACTTGCCTCCAGAGGAAGGTAAGTGTGTTTCTGCTCCTGTCCAACTTGTAAACATGGAAGGTGAGGGTAGCGTAAAACTAATTTATGCCTGTCCTTAAAATACTGAGCTACAGTGCATTCAACTGTTTGTCCATTCTCCTGCTGAAGTGGGAATCTGTTGGAATGCAAACATGGAAAGCAGTTATTACTTCATGCAAAATGCTTCCCCACAGCTCCTCAATAATTTTTTGGCACAAGTTAAGCTTATTGAAGGAGGATGAAACCAAGCCCAAACAATTAAAAACCAGATTCAGATACTGATCAGTTATCTTCTTGTAAAAAGCTGGTATCAGTTTTGTTCTTTATATTGCTTCCTTAAAAATAGGAATCACTGTCTCCATATTCTAGTTATCTGACTAATCTCTGGTTGGTAGTTAAACTTTTTTTCCAGAGGAAAAAGAGATTGCAAATGAGCAACATCAGGAGGCTGATCCCAACTGGCACCACTTTTCTATTCCAGTTGTGGGAAACATCAGGCTACAAACAGGACACCCTGTCCTTCCAATTTTAAAGAAATCCATAAATGACAGAAAAAAACCCCACCCAACCAAAAAATCTCCCAGATCTAAAACAGAGCAAATCGTTTGTTAAATCAAATGCCATGACACTCATTATAGTATAAAAATAGAAAAAAAAAGAACAACAAAATTGGGAAAATACTTTGAGGTATATTTAAGGGTATTAACCAAAGAAAGCATCATTTTTCAAGGCAACTTTTCACACCTCAGTAAGGCAGGCAAGGTGTTTTTCTAGCCTGAGACCAAACATATGCTTAAAAAGCAGAAAAATACTACCTGGGACCAAACATATGCTTAAAAAGGAGAAAAATACTACCTGAGACCAAACATTAGCTCAAAAAGCAGAAATATACTTTACGTTTGGTGACTTGCTGGTCGTCTGGTGACATTGCACACTCTGTATTTCCTTTTCATTTGTCCACAGTGTGTTATCTCCACCTTCAGACCTAAAAATTGGAAAGTACAAGTCACCATTTCTCCAAAATCAAGGTATCAGCCCTAAACTGCTACAGGAGACCAGTTAAACAGTGTCATAAATCCATTCCAATTAGTCCCAAAGGGCAGAGCCCAGACAGAGCTCAAAAAGCAATTTACAGTCTTAAAATTCAAAATTCCTGAGCTTCAGCCAAAGTTCAACACAGAATATCAGAGACAAGATGAAATCCCAAAGGCCCCAGAGGACACAGATGATGCTGAGCACATTCTGTAAATTCCAGAGCTGGACCTCTGAGGAAGCCCAGGATGGAGAAAGGACAAAAAGGGCACACAAGCTCCTTGAAACAAAACCCCTTATTTACACTTTCTGTCTAAACACATGGGGTCTGTAAGCCCTCCAACTCCTGCAATGAACTGGGGGTGTGGGTGGAGGGGAATCCCCAAACAGCCTCTCAGGAGCTCATGGGAATGAGGCCACAGTGAAGCACTTTGGTGCCTGATTATCCTTTCAAAACACAACCAATGCAAACTCAGGATTTATTTGTACTTTCCTTGATAACTTCTAGTTGGGCAAAGATCATTTTTGTTGATGTTTTTTTTGGAAACATGAAAGGAAGATGCAGGATGGATTTGTGGATTTATTCCTTTAAAAATTGCTTGCTTTCTGCCAGGAGTATCAGGAAGGAAGGATCTCCATTTTGCAGAGGAAGCCCCTTCAGTGAACAAAACCAGTAAGATTTCTTCCTCCAGTTCTTTTTGATTCAGTTACTACACACTAGAATAATTTCTTATTTACTTCCAGGAAAGTATATGCAGGACAGATGCCTAAGTATGCAAAAACACACTGCTAAATTATTAGTAAAATCTGAAATATGAAAAACCTGATATCAGTAATTGAAAAAATTTAAGATTGGGTAATTAAAAAGCATGAAATCCAAGTCTTTGTAAACATTTAGAAATCATCAGATCGGGAACTGGAATATTTTTGTCATGAATCTGGGATTGGTACTACTGATATGTTTCAAAAGCAAAAAATATGAAATTTTTGTCACCCCATAAGGCAACTACTGTAGAAAATATTTAGAACACAAGGTGGTAACACATCAGACAGAATAAAGAAGGTGTATATAATTTCCTTATTACCTTTTATTTCTTTGGTAAACTTTACCCTTTGGGAATCGGTCAGAGGTTTTTGTTGTTCTTCAATACTTTTGAAGTCCAGAACTTCACAGACAAACTCAATAACTGGCTGTGCTTTGTAAAATGCAGTTGCAGACACTGCAGACAAAAACATGAATGGTGAGTTACAACAATGCAGAAGAAATTCTTAGGAAACCCAAAAAATTGAACTAAAATATTGCCTTTCCATCAAGGAGCAAGAAGAAACAAGAAAATACTTCCCAGTACCTACCATCAATATTTAGCATCATTTTCCATAATGAAGGTCTGACTGACTGATGGAAGCCAAACCAAACTTCTCTGCCACCACCCAAAGGATTTGAGCACCCTTCTGATGCTGTAAAGAAAGATCTCCCCACAGGAGTATACCTGCAAGAAAACAAATAAATTCACATCAGAAAACTAAAGCAAAAATTGCAATAAATCCATAACTAATGCAAATTCCTTTTCACAAGAAATGTCAGTGTTTAAAATTACCAATAATCTGAGATTCCTGGCAAGACTCAGGTTACATCTCTCAAAACCCAGCCTGTTATAGTAAGAAATTGGCTACTACTCAGGTTTAAATTTAATATTTCTACTAATTCCAACAAAAAAGCATCCATAACTTTTTATTTGTACTCTTTTAAAACATCAGCTGTGCCTCCATAAGAAAAGAATTCAAAGTCTCTGCTATTAAAACACCAAAGTAACAATCTCTCCCCATACTCTGAATTATAGACATTATGTGAAGTGATCTAACAAATATTTCTGATCTATCTTTCATCTTGATAATTAAGTACTGCAAACTTAATAACAAACAAATCATATCCAGAGCCCATGTGCTCCTCTGAACAAAGGTGTCTGACATTCTGGGCTGTTTTCTGAGCTGTAAAACCTGATTGAAGTAATTTTATATTTTTTTTATTCTAAATTTGAGGATAAAGCCAACATAAGGCTATTTAAAGACATGCATATTTAACTCATATTACCTGTTTAGAACTTTGATATGGGCAAGTTCAGCCCTACTAAACTTTGCTCTTTGCTTTCTAATTAAATATAATTTGCACAGTGATCTTAAGTGACGTGTGCACAGCAGCAGAATTAAGCCCAGTATCTCTTGGGGGAGACTGAAAATGCTGTAGGTCCCACTTGAAAAACAAACAAATAATTTCCAAGTTTTTCTTTCCTATCCAAATAGCCACACAGGGTGACATTAATGTCCCCCTAGCACTGCAACTTTTATACAAAATTGGAAATAACCATCCAAGGACACACAGGAACAGGGTAAGAAGTTGGTTTAAATCCAGCCTTCCACATCTACTGTGGCATTCATCTTCTCTGAAAAAATCCCTTTGCCCAGGATTTTTCTCCTGGGAAGCTGAGAAGCCTCAGAGCAAAGGAAAACAATTCTTATCTCATTTGCTTCTCCTGTGTTTTGCTCATGTGGAGAATGTGTTTGGAGATTGTTTACCCACAGGTGATTGTTTCACTGGATTCTGGTGTGAGTTGTTTTGACTCTTTGGCCAATCAGGGCCAAGATGTGTTGGGACTCTGGAGTGAGTCACGAGTTTTCATTATTATCTTTCAGCATTTAGTAAGTGTCCTTTCCGTATTCTTTAGTATAGTCTAATGTAGTATTCTTTAATATAATACAGTATTATAAAGTAATAATAAATTAGCCTTCTGAGAACATGGAGTCAGATTCATCATTCCTGCCTTCGTCAGGGCATTTCCCAAAAAATACAATAATCTACCAACCTCCAAGCACTTCCCACTTGAGGAGAGCCTCCTTCTCCAAGGCTAGAGAGAGAAGAGGACATGGCAGAGCCCCCCTGACCTGAGACACACACCCATGGGCCAGTCTGACACCTCTGGGGAAAGGCTGCCACGTCCAGGCTGGAGGTGACCAGGGAAGCACCAATGGCCTCTTGCTGAGCCTGCCATTGCCACACAGCCACAACTGCCCCACAGACTGCCCAAAGAGCCTCCAAAATAAAGTACTAGAATGCTCCTCCCAGGGAGGTGGTAGAATCACCATCTCTGGATGTGTTTAAAGAAAGACTGGACATGGCACTTGGTGCTACAGTCTAGCTGAGGTGTTAGGGCATAGGTTGGACTCGATGATCTTAGAGATCTCTTCCAACCTCATTATTCTGTGATTCTGTCAAACACCCAAGTCACCCCTAAAGCACCTCCAGGGCTTCCCCTCACCTCATGGAAGGCAAGTGCCTCATGACCACATCCAGGGCCTGGATGGTCTCGAAGGGGACGCTCGGCAGCCGGCCAGAGAGAGCGTCGTGCAAAGCCTGCAGGCTCACACAGGACATCCACTTGATGGCCACCTTAAATATCCTGTCCTTTCCTTCTCCTGGCAGAGTGACCTCCAGCTCCACCTGCAACAATGCCAAACAACAAACCAAGATGATTCTTTCCATTGGAAGGGGGGAAATCAGAAGGGACAATGGATTCCTGTGAACAACGCCACGAAGCAGGGGAGGAGACAAAAAGCGAGGATGAAGCACCACCATGGATCAGGTACCGCCCCTTTTTACAGCTCCATCTGCCCCAAGGGGTATTTCAGAAGCCTGGAGGGCCTCCCAGCTGGCATTTATCTCCTCTGTGAGGCAACACTGGAACTTGGAGGCACTCATATCAACAGGAAGGTCTTGGTGAAGATCCCATAACCTGATTTCAGATCCCTAACACGCCCCAGCGCGTCGCTGCTCGTGTCAGCTCCTGCACGCCTAAAATAAAGCATGGGGTGTCACCACCTGCCAGGATTCATGAATTTCTGGTATTTGCTCTCCAGAGCACCAGAGCGCTTTACATACTGTTGCTGCAGACACAGTTTAAATAAGAGAAGAAAGGAGCTTTAAAAGAGAAAAAGAAGAAATTATTGATCACCCAAAGAAAACAGAAAAGCCACAAAAGCCACTAAGCCAAAACTGTTACTTTTAAAGTAAGAAAAGAAAGAACAAACTACAAGCCCCAGTGCCAGTGATGGTATCAGGTAGGAAACAGGGGCACTTCTTTGCCATGGTATGCCCTACCTGGAATTTTTTGTCTCAAAAGCAGTGGCAAACCACATTGTGGTAAATTACTTCAGCCAATTACTTGTAATTATTTCTAATGCTGATTTCTCCTCTTTCTTAAAACAAAGGAAGTCTGAGCACCAAGGTTGTTAAGCCGACTAAAATTAGGGCTTGTCTGAAAGGATCAGGTCTGGGAGTGACTGCAAGAAATAACAAGATCAGAGTATCCTTTGTGCTGGATACAAACAAAAACGTTGCATTTTCCCTGCTAGGGAGCTTGTAATTTAAATATAAAAGGCATTCACTTAAGAGGCAAGGTGTAATTAGCAAAAATAACAGGTGGCTAACAGCAAACTAATATCTGTCAGCATTTGGTCTCTTGCAACAATTTTCTTCTTTGGTTAAAAATAGGAAGTAAATATAAAACACTTATTTGATATATAAAATACTTATTTTTTATATACAATTCACTTTTTATATATAAAATACTTATTAATATATTAAAAACTTATATGTAAAATAAGAAGCCTTCCCATGTGCCCCTATAAATGAGTTGACCATCCAGAGCAGGCACACAAAATTAGTATTACAGCTGAGTATCTCCTCCAGCACAAACATCATCCCCCAGGGAGACTGGAGCAGAGGAAGGAGCTGCACAGCTGTGGGAGGGCAATGGGAACTGAGTCTAATCTGGGGTCACTGCTGTCAGTCTGGCCCAGGTCAGCCCTGCTGAAAGCTGTGCAAAGAAACTTTGCTGAGGCCTTCAGCTCACACAGGCTGGAAGCTTTCCATGAGGGCTCTTTTCCACCACACCATCAAAAAGTTCTCACCTTGCCTCTCATTTACAGCAGAGGGAAGATGTCTGCCACACCTGACCTGCATTTTCCTTCAAGCCTCTCCTCCAAATCAAGTTTCATCCTTCCTGCTTGAGCAACCTGGTGCAGTGGAAGGTGTCCCAGCCCATGGCAGGGCTTGGAGCAGGGTGGCCTTAAAGGTAGGTCCCTTCCCACCCCAACCACTCCATATTTATTCCCAATACTGCTAATACACAACTCATCTGATTATTGAATGCTTTGGTGCCCTTAATCTAAAAAAAAAAAAATTATTTAATTTTACTTTTTTTCCTCTCTTGGTATCAGTTTGCAAAACTGCTTCACCATGATGGAATGGAAGATGAAGAGCAATCTGTGCTGCAGTACCTTGTCCCTGGTGGAAATAAAATTGAGGGATTGAAGAATTTCTATTCCAGGTGCCCAGCTGCAGATACCAGTAAAAGTTAGCAGAGCTAACTTTTGTGACTGCTGAATTTGGCCCAAAACTGTTTCTGCTGCTGGGTCCAACTCCAAATGAGTTGAATTAGGAGTCACTGCTAAAAGAAGTAAGGTTTAAATAAAACTTTCCTGTGTTTTTTTTTTTTAATTAAATATTTCACCCTATTAAAAAAATCATGAAAATATATTAAAAAAATCCTTAATCCACATCCAAAAATTCACATATACTTTTAGGCACTGCTAATCAGAATTTTTCCTCTCTCAGCAATATTTTATTTATCCCACTCTGTACTTTTGAGGACAAATGAACACACTCCTGTTTGGCAAAGTAAGCAAAATATGAAAAAATTGGGACAAAGTAGTTTTAGATGGGAATTTTACTATGTCCTTTATTATTAGGGATACATTCTAAAGCAAAATACAAGATTTGTTTTCTTCTCTATCCCCAAATAAATGTCAGGATGCTACCAGGTCAACTCACTGCTAAATTGCAACAGAGGTGACCATTTTGCAGCTAAGGGAGCTAAAATGAAATGGATTTTACTGTCAGGATGTGAAAAATCATTAAGCATGTACAAAAATTTCAAAGCCATTCTTAAAAAGAACAGGTCTTGAGGCTGATGTGCTCTGAATGACTCACACAAATCAGCATTTTCACTGTTTAAAAAAATACACCTGACCATGTGTTTTGGAGGAATTCATAGTATTTCTTCTTCTCCATAAAATAAATGCAACATCACATGATTATTTATCATGCTCTGAGCATACAATGTACCTTTTCTCCATTAATCCAAGAGCTTTTCCTTCCCAGGGATTCAGAGGAAAACAGATTAACAACAAGCTATGGGTGCAGGCAAAGCTCTGCTTCTGTCATGTGCAGAGTCTTTAGCAACACTTCAGAAAGTCAAAGTCAGAGAGGCAAATTTGTGGCCACACACAGAATTAACATTTTCCTTCTAGAAAGGGAATAGCAGCAGGATTTCTGTACCAAACTGCTGCTCTGTTCATTCCTAATTACTGTTTTTCTAATAAAAGACTAATGAAAATGTAGGTTAAGATACATCAGTTGCTCTTGAACGTTGCTAGTTGAGAAAACTTCCAAGTTCAGGTAAAATTAAATTCCAGCTTTTAACTGTAGAAGGGTATTTTAGGGAAATACAAAAGTAAAGCAGGAATTGAATACAAAGCTGCTGTTAGAGGTGACCTGGGTTTGCTGTGTAGAACCTACAGGGAAAGAGGAGACTTTTAATATCTTCCTACCTTCACAGTGCCCTAAACACTTCTTTCTTCTCAATATGTACAAGTAAAAACTAAGAAAAAATCATGTTAATATTTACATATTCCATATTTGTTCTAAAAGGTCTAAAGAAAGAAGACATTAAAATAAGGTACACTAAAGGAGGAATGAAAACAGATTTGATAGCCATGACAGCCAAGCAGAAAAGCATAGAGAAGAAAAAGTTATAAAAGAAGCAGAGCTGCCAGCAAATACAAAAAAAAAAAACAAGCCCAGAACAGCCACTACAACCAGAGATGAGGACAGAGTGCATTAATTAAATTAAAAGAGCAACAGGAGGAGGAAAACCTTGGCAATTTGGTGTCAGCCCTCTGTTTAACATCAGCTTGTCCACTACCAGTGCATAGTGCAAGTCAATTAAGATCTTCCACATAGATTAATCACTGTATGTTCATTAATCTTTTCAATATGATCCTAAATGCAATCAGATGTGCAGTAAACTTGCTATATTTGCTATGTACAGAACAGTCAAAAAAAAAAAAAACCCACCAAAGAAAGCTAATCTAATTATGCTGGAGGAAAGTCCTAATACCTACAAGCTTTATAGTGGTTTAAATCATGCTTAAACCAACTTAGCACCATGTAAAAATTTCCTTCATTAAGCTAAATTTCGCCACATCTCATTTAAAACAGCTCAAGATTTATCTCTGTTAGCTCTTTCCTCCAGGGTAATGTTAATATATCTGGAGCAGAACAAGTGACAAAGCCCTTTAACCATGGGAAACAGGGGAAAAATGGGAGTTTATAGAAAGTGAGCCACAAATGAAACCACCTGAAACTCTCTCATGATAAACTCCACTACAAACACCTCCCCAGTGACCCCCCACTCCAAATGCTGACTGCTCTGGCAAGACTGGGAAAGGATGAGATGATTTTTTGGGTGAGATGCTCCTTCTGTGCCAGTGCTGAGCAGACAGGACCCTGTTCCTGATGCTTTGGATTTTAAAGCCCACACACACTGACATACACATGGTGAAACTGAAATCTGGGACAGTGTGGCAGCAGGAAATGCTCCTAATGCCCCAATTCCTTTGTGTCCTTGCAAACAGTGTAACCTACAGCTGGGAAAGGCTGACTTGGAAGGTTTTGTTAACTCTGTCCCATCCAAAATGGTTATAAGAGCAAGGAGGGCCAATTTGCATCCCATGAAGTCTCATTAGATGTGAGGATTAATTTGATCCCTGTTTATCAGGTATAAATAAACCATTTCTCATTCAACTTTACTTATTAAATTAGGAACTTCATAGTTGTCATAAGGTAAACTGTTATTCACCCATAATTTGTAAAGTATTATAAGGCAACTCTGCACACATCCAGGGTTGTTCAAACCCCTAAGAGACTCTCATCAAGTATCCTTCCACCTCTGCAAATACTTTGCAGTCTTGTGTGTCAAACGTGTAGGAACTGGAATGTTGTATGTGAAAGCAAGGGGGGAAAAAACACTACAACTTTTAGTGATTTCTTTATAGTTTCCCAGATATTCCTTTATCAGTTGATGAAAAGTAATTAACACTGGAGTAGAGTCTGACCTTTACTGCATGGCATTCATTTAAATAAATTGGGAGGAAGTAAAAATTACACATATGAGATTAGGAGCTTGATTCAGACAGAACTGTTAACTACAAGCACTGCACAGGCACTGAATATGAGACAGCAAACAACAGCCTGAACTATTCTATAGCTGCTGAATTTCAGAGGGACATTTCTCTGTATTGATCTCCCCCCTTAATGTTTTATTTTTGCCTAAAGCTGGAGACAGAACAGTCCTCCCTGTAACTGTGCACCCCAGCAGAAGGGAACTACTGCAGTACCAAAGAGAATGACTGTGCCCTCCCTCAGGGACTCACCTGAATGAAAACAAGGCACAGAAAATTCAATCTGCTATGAGATCACAGATGCACAGGCTCAATTATTTACTAGGGCTTGAGTGTTTGCATGTTCCAACAGAGTCCCTTCCACCCCAGCAGTCAATGGGCACAGGAGCAGGCACAGCCAGAGCCCAGAGAGGTCATTGCCCCACCAGGAGCTGGCAAACACAACCCCAGCCCTCTCCAGCTGCCCCAGGGCAAAGATTGCAGGTCTTAACCTGTGCAGTGTAAATTAATTTGGCTCTCAGTCATCAAGGATTAGGGAGGAGAAGTTCCAATACAGGCAACAGAGAGATGGAGGAGCTTCTTTCAGCTACTGATAGTGAGAATAAGCTTAGAGTGGGCCTTGATGAGATTAGTGAGGTGACACAACAGCTTCTTGCTGCCCAGAGCAGGATTTTCCTCCTCTCTCCCACAACACTCAGCTGTGCTCTCCCTTTTTCCTTAGTGCCACTCTGGAGACTGTCTGTGTCTGGGGCAGCTGATCCAGCTCCCTAAAGCGGCAGAAATCACACCAGAGGGGATAGAGAGAGGGAGGAATGAAGGGATATAGAACAGGGAGCTCACACTTGACTTGTGTCCTGGCAAAGCAGAGTGGCAGCAACAGAGACAGCTATTGCAGAAACAAACAGAAAATCAGTTTCTATTAGTTATTAAAAATATTCTGAAAACATCACATTGAAATCTCTAGAAATTTTTCTATTTAAAACTTACTTTATCCCTCCCAATGGGAAGTGGCATTGCTGTATAAAGGTTTTTTCTTCCATCAAACACTGGTTTGCGATCCCCAAAAATCTGGGTTTTAAAGTGCTGAACCATATGCTCCACTATTTCTCTGAAAATGCAAAAAGATTAAGTTAATCCAACTTTTTACTTTGAATGTTAAGAGACAGACAAGTTCTATATTTACCAACAGAAGCATTAGGTAAATGAAAGGGTTGTCCACTCCTGTCTATTAAAGGCAAGATTTGACTGATCTGAACTGAAAGCAAGTTTTTCACAGACTAAACTGTTTTCTTAAAATTGCTATTTTTAGGGGTTTTTTTCAAATTTAAACTTTCCTTCCTCTTTTGTTTGACCTACTGGAAGTGGTGAAGTGAAAGCTCATGCTCTCTCAAGCTCAAAACAAGAAGTACCTGATAGATCTGGGGCTTCAGCTCCCCTGTCCTACAGCCCTTTCTGCAGAGGACCCTGGACCAAAAGCCCAGCAGAGGCTGAGAAGCTTTCAAAAATATCATTATCCCAGCTTAGACCACAAAGTCAGGACAGCAGTTCATGCCAACAATGACAGTGAAATGTTTTGCAGCTCCCTCAGAAAAAGAATTTTTAATACATTTTTTTCATACACACAACAAAACTGGGATCCATCCAACAAAACTGGGTATGTGCATTCAGTGGAGCTGTGAATATCAACAGTACACATTCATTTAAAAGTAGCTGGAATTAGATTCCATTTTTGTATGAACAGGGAAACCACTCACACAGCTCCTGTCAAACCACAGTGTTTACACACTGGTCATCCAAAGCAGCTCAGCAGTCAGTGAGAGGTCAGCTGGAATAATAACATTTTTTGAAGCTGGAATAATAACATTTTTGGATGCCAAAGGTCTTTTGGTCCCAGAGAGACATCCCTCAGTGCACCTGTACTACCCAAAATCCATCTGCAGGCTGCAATCTTGACACACAATCGGGGCAAAAGGGCATTGAAAGGTTAAAGGGGCACAGAAAGGAAACCACTGCTCCCCCAGCACTGCTGACACCAGCAGCTCACAGAGGCTGCTCAGGCACCCTGACTTGGCAAGGGAATTAACCCAGCACTCAGGTAGGGATTACAGAGCTGCAAAACCTGAGACAAAACTGAACTCACTCAAGGAAAGAACTGAGATTGTTTAAATTGGTAATTTCTTTGCTGTGTCCCAAGGTTTACCTTAAAATAAGATGAGGCCACTGAAAGGAACTCTGACCTCCTGCAAAGCATGAATCAAACCTGACTCAGTAATATCTGCCTCAGAGTGTGACTGAATAAGTACATAACTGGGAGGAAGCAGGTATTTTTCAACCTTAAGACTGAGCATGGAAACCCCACTCCCCTCCTGAGCAAGTTCTTCCATTTGTTAACTGCTTTATAAAAAAAAAAAATGAACACTTCCACTTGATTTATGTTTTCAAGCTTCAAACCACATCCACAATTAGCAATGGTGCTTCTCAGCTGTGGGTGGATATTTTTAAGAAATAGAAGTTATTTTCTTCATGCAGAGTTAAGAGAAGAGTTATTTACCACTTCATTAACTTCAGCCCCTTGGGACAACTGTTCTACAAAGCTCATGCAAGCTCACCAAGAACCCTGGGCTGGCAACTTCAGGCAGAGTTCACCTTGCACAAATCCTCAAAAATTAAATTGAGAGCACCCAGAGTGCAGAACTAAACTCACATTGCCCACTCTGCCTGCCCAACCACCCAAACTGATCTGCCTGATGTACAGAGTTGTAGCCAGACTGTATTATTCAGGAGCACATTGTCCCAGTTGTGTTTTCCAGTCCTGCTCCAGCTCATGGCTCAGTGTGGAACTTGCATCCACAGTGGATACACCCTGCAGTGGGGTCTGCAGGGTCACAGCACAACTGCAGTAAAACTGAAGAGCAAAGCTGACACACATGAGAGAGCAGAGCAAAAAATAAAACCTCCCTCTCTCCTTTCTAGAGGCTGTATCACATAAAGCAATGATAAAAACTACTTACTATATACATGTGAATTATAGAATCAAAATACTAGAAACCTGTAAAGCAGCTGTAAAAAAACATTATCATTCAGAATTGGATTACATGTGCATCCTGCATAATCATGTATATATATAATTTTTATATATATATATATATATGAATATATATTTGCACACACAAATACATGCACAGACATAGGTCACAGCTCACAAAAACCCAGCTGCAGGTGAGTACAGGTACATCTACAGAATAGAGCAGTAAGTACTCACAAGAAATAAAACACACTTTCATATGTGAATCCAAATTGTATTTTCACCACACTGCCCTGAGAAACATCCACCACAACACTGCTGAATGCATCTGTGGCATCTCTGCTTACTGCAAAGGCATTTCACCTGTGTAGGTCTGTACCTGCTCCTGTCACCACAGAAGAGGAGTGACTAACTGGCCAAGCAGAGCAGGTCATCAACAGGCACTGGAGGAAGAACTGCTACTGAACAGAATCTCTCCTCGCAGTGAGAAAAACTGCTTGAGGTTTTGTGGCAAGGGAGGACTGTAAGGGAGGTGCTCACACAGCAAACACACATGAGCTGTGCAGCACTTGGCCCCCAGAGAGCTGCAGAGGAAATGTGGATCAGCAGCAGCAGCTGGCACAGCTGGAGTGGTGGCAGGGACAGGTCAGAAAAGCAAATTTCTCACAGCTCCCCATATGAAAAAAGTGACGGCTCCAAGTGTTTTGCAGTGCTCCAATGCAGGAACAGCACCCCAGTGAAATCAACAGCTGCAAGAAGAGATTCAGCTTCATGCACTTAACAACGGTGTTTGCTTTTGAAATTAACCTCGGCTCTTGATTAGCTGAAAAATTAAACTAATAATAGATCACCAGAGGAAGTAAAAAAAAAAAAACAAAACAAAACAGGGCAGCAAAGCACAGTGATGCTGCTTTGTGAGAACACTATCATTACCAACTCCTCAGTGTAACAATGGGAATGCCCTCAGGTTTATTAACTCTCAGCAGGAAAACCGTGGCTTTCAGGTGGCTTTTTTGACTCCACACTGTTTATTCTAGTGACAGCTGGTTCCACCCATGTCACCTTTTAACAAGGAAAGGCTTTGCTCTTGAGTATACAAACAGGCCATTCCAATCCTCCCGAGCCAAGGTGTAGTTATGATGATGACACTTGTGGTTTCCAGCTGGTGCCAAGTCTCATTCTCAGGTTTCACTCCTGGCAAGGCTGCTCCTTTTCCAAGTCAATGAAGTTGCACACTCCAGCAGGGCACAGATGCCAAATGCAAGACCTGGCTGCTTTGTTTCCCTGGACAGCTGAGCCCTGTTTTCACCTTGCTCTCTCTTTCAGGAGCACAGCTTTCCCTTATATAGAATCTACTGATGAAGGAGAATTTCCTACCTGCTTTAGTAACTCCATAATCCCCTCCCACAAACAAATGGGTTTTGTCACCTCTTGTGAGCAGGGAAAGGTGGGAAAACAAGCTGGGACCACCAGCTCCATCCTGAAGGGCTTCAGCCAATTACACCCCAATATTTAATAGGTAATAAGAAATCATTTTTATCAACTTGGTTTACACTGACCCAGCATTAATAGAGCTAATACAGCTTATCCATCTGCCACCAGTGGCTTCAATCAGCAGCATCTTAAGACTCTGACAAAATCAATCCAAGTAAAGATTTAGAAGGAAAAAAAAAAGTATTTACATATCCTGTTAATTGAAGTGATCAGTGCAATCACTGATTAAAGCCAGACATCTTTCCAGACACCAGTGAGGGCACCTGGCTCCAGCTTTTTCAAAGAGAAACAAGACAGCAAATAAACTGAGGAAAAGCAAAGCACAGTGTTACCTGTTAACTCTTCTAGGACATTTTTCTGGCTTTATATCCAATTCATAATGGTAGATATCTATTTTAGGAATGTCCATTTCAAAGAAGTTGGCCTGCAGTTTGATTGTTCTCCCAGAAGTGCCAAAATCTGGTCGAGGAGGAGGTTTAAAGGCATATCCCTGTATTGGTGGTGGCAATGGGGGAGGAGGTGTGAGCACTGCAAAAGAGAGAAAGCACAACTTAGCCATCAGCTGTCTCACATTGACATTTCAGCAAATTTACAGGCTAGTGGACCAGGGAAACCCAGCACACTTAAGCTATTACTCCTTTTAAACAACTTAAAAATGGAAAAAAAAAAAAAAAGCCCAAACACTGCTTTCAGGAGATCATGAATTCTGTTTTCTCTTTCTTTCTCATGTTGGTTCACAATTTGTTGTATTTCCTAGCACAAATTACTGAAAAAAAATCTTAAAATCAGTTGCACTTTCCTATATAACAAGTCATCTGGGTAGAATTTCACAGACCAAGCAGGAAAGCAAGAACCAAGCTCTTCCTTTCATTTTAAAACAAATCTACCCACATTTATTTGAGCAAACACCTATAAAATGGAGTTTCCACCACTTTCCTCTCTGCTGCAGCTCTCTGCAAAGTCCTGTATAAGAACTGAACTATATTCCTACTGCTTCTTTCACACAGAAAACAGAGCAAATACTCTACTGCTGCTGTGCTCAATTCCTGAGCTCAAACATCAGCTGTTGCTCACATAACATGAAGCAGAAGCACAAAGGCAGTTTGCTGTTGTTTCAATCCAGGAAAATCCATTAAAAATCCACAGAGAAGTGTGCAAGGTACCAACTTGAGCACTCAAAACTTTTGCAGCCTCAGTGCTCAGGTGTTCTGTGCTCTGAAGCAACAACAACTTGCAGCAAAACCTTCACATGTGAAACAACCCAGGAGGTTTCTCATTACTTATGTAAGAATCCAGGTGTGGTTTCTTAAGATTATCAAATTCAGTTCTCTGCTAGCACCAGAAACAATTCACATCCCTTCATTAACAAATCTGTCACCACTTTTCCACCCTGACTTTCTCTAATGCTCAGAAAACATCCTTCCATTTTTATTTATTCATGGCAGGTTATATTTGGTGGCCTTCATATTGAATACTCCTGACTGTACTTCTAGATTTAAACCAAATACACATTTATGACTAAATTTTAGGCTATGCTCCTTCTGTTAGTCCATGCTCAAAAATCAGCCTTCATCATTCTCATCCTTCCAGTGATTTTTCCTGGAGCAGACTAAGTGATAACCACACTGTGCTTCCACCTCTCAGCTGGAAAAGGCAGATTAATGTGCTCTAAACTGCTTTTGCCTGCTGTACCACTGCCTTGTAAAGTGACCACTCAGGGCAGGTGCACCCATTTCAGGTGTTTATGATCATCTCCCAATTCCCCATGAACTCCCAGCTACATTGTCTTTAATAAATCAACTTTTCTAACCCATATCTATTAACCTGCTGCTTGCTGAATGATGCTCAGATTCTCCTTTTCCTGACAATGTCTCCTATACTTCTGATGAAATTTCACATACTTATTCCTAACATTTATGCAATGTTTGCTAATGAACATTTCACAATGAACATTTCATTTCAATGCTAATAAAATAATAAAACCATTCCCAACATCAGTAGCATCAATTCCCTATTTTACCCCTCAACACTTCCCATGGCCAGTTTCCCACTCATGAGTGTCTCCCTTTTTTTACCACCCTCCTAACAGTCAGCACCAATTTCCCCAAGCACCAAATACTTAATCAGACTTGACAATGGGAAAATTATAGAGGGGTTTGTTATTATTTTTTGAAAATCTTGTTTCTGATCTTACTATTTTTTGAAAATCTTGTTTCTGGTCTCCCAAACATATTCTATGGCATCCACCCTTCTAATTCAGGCTACTGAAACCCAATTTCCCTTATTTCCCCTCCCTTTTATAAACATTTCCATTAAAGACTGTGGTGTTCTCCTACAGTAACACAATCAACAAATTAAAATAACTTCTTGCTGAAGATCTGTATTTCCATAACCTAAAACTTCATGTTTCAGTACTTCAGTTTTGCCTTCCATGGCAATATAGCAATTTTTATTTGAGTATTATGCATCCACATTGCTCTTGCAGTGTCCACAGCTGCCCTGAGGAATGGAGCCAAATATCACCTTAGCTTTTATCTCTAAGTCAACCCTAAATATCACCTTAGCTCTTATCTGTAAGGCAGGAGCAGCCCATGTGCATCTGCCCTTGCTCACCTCCATCCCTCAAGGCAGGACAAAACACAGCTCACTGATTCTGCTCAACCTTTGGCTCTTTATTTTTTCCTAAATTCCTACACATCCTGATTTCTAAGACATCAATTTCCATTTTTACCCAACACTTCCAGTCCCTCTGGTGATTTCACATTTTTCTGATGGTGATTAGCTCACTCAGGTGGCCCTGCAGTCACCATTTCCCCTGTTTGGTGTGACAAATTCCCACTGGATGTGACATTCAGTGGAAGGAATCCTCTGCTGAGGACAGGACACCTAACAGAGTTATTGACAGCATTGCCACTCCAGTGGAGTGGCAGAAGTAGCAGAAAAAATACAAAAATACTCCTACAAATATTTGTACTTGCAATACACCAAAGGGTTCTGTGATCCACCTCCAAACTGATCAGGAGGATGTGCTCAAAGCAGCCACCTCTCCTCCTCCAGAATCCTGTTTGCCATCACTTCCACCCCCCTCTCCCAAATTTTAAAATAATCTGTCTCCCACATGCATTTTCAGTCACTCTGCTGCTGAGCCCTCTACAGATCACCACTGCACACATTTTTATTTTCATCTTTCTGTAACAGAACATTCCCATTTGAAAATTATGTCCTAGTCATCAACTTTATTCTGTGATTTTTGTGTATTTCCATGATTCCCATAACACCACCCATTATAAAATATTTTAATTTTCTATCCAGGCTCCTGTATTTTAACAGTTCCATTTCTTGTAATCCACACTCTGCATTCCACATTGCCTTCCACTATTACCTGGCCAACTATTATCAATATATTGATTTCCCTTCTCTTTCCCAATGATTTTTGCCTTCTAACATTTCTGTATCTACTGCCACATCCTAATTCCACTGCTCTTCCTTTTCTGGGCATATTTTGTACATCATGACTTTTATAATTTTCAAAATAATAAAAAAATTACACTTAGATATTGGAAGTACAAAGAGAAGCATAGTGGAAGGGGACACACAACCCCACAGGCTATTTATGCCAAATTAAGAAATTATGTAATTAAGCAATAAATCCTCCCTCTGCTTTAAAATGGGGTTGTTTAATGCTTCACAGGGGCATTACAAAGCCGTATCTGTAAACGTTCAGGGATCAGCTTGGACACATGTTGCTCAATTCCTCCACAGGAGCTTCAGTGACAAACAGTGAATAAAAGTGAGGGTTCAGCCCCATTTTTGAGACTAAGATGAAACAGTGAGAGAAGCACAGATTCCTGGGGAAAGATGTGAAGGCATTTTTATAACCTGCATGACTCACAGAGATAAAAAAGCACCAAGCTGCCCAGAAAGCAGGACCACTGCCACCCTCTATTTCCATCCTGAACAGTTTTTTTCAATTATTTGGGTTTTACGATCGAATTAAAGGGAAAAAAAAAAAATAAGGTGGGGATGGGGGGTGAAGCTATTTCTGGCTCAACTCCCAAGGCAAAACTTATTTAGGGTAGGGTGTTGCTTCAAGGAGATAAGTGCTGTTTATTAAACAGCAGCAGTGACCCGATAAGAGCTCAGCCTACATCTGAAACAGACACGGATGTGTGAGGGATGGGAACTGAGCTCCAGGGGCCAAACACCAAATATTGCACCCAGCCAGCTGCACTCACTCCTTGCACTACTGCCTCAAAGTAAGAGAGCAAAATCAAACTATCTGGTGTGGAAGTTATTGCAGCAAGCAGCTGTGAAAGGTAGAATCACAAAATGCTGGATTTGGTGCTGGCAGAACAGAGAAATAAAGCAGGAGGCACAATTGCTGCATTCAGTGATTCAGCTGCCCCATCTCCCTGTTCAAACACCCCTGCAGAACTCCCACCACTCACTTTTACTTGTGACAGAAGCTGTACCAATACAAGAATATTCTCCTTAGTGCCAAGGTTCCTTAGGAAGCTTTTTCAGTTGTGCTACAGAGGACAGCACTGGACATCTGAGCTGGAAGTGATGACCTGCCCAGGGAAACCTGCCAAAATTCATGCATAGACACCTTCATGAGCACAGATGCTGCTTCTGGAGACTGTTTTCAAAGCATTGGAAAATCCACATGTATTCCTGGATTTTAGTTTTAAAGATCTGTCAAGGAAAGAAGGGACTAGAAAAAAGATGGAAGACTAATAAACTGGAGCATCCATGGGGTAAGAATTGGATGGATAGATTTTATCATCTCATTTGCCAGATGATAAAATGAATAATGAGAGCATTTCAGCCTTGATATGATGATTGAGACCATCAAGAGCCACATTTTCAAGGTGTGAATTAAGGTGAGCTGGGTGTGGAATAATGAGGTGCCCACATGCTGTCTTTAGGCTTACTTTTATCAGGAAAGAAACCAGACTTCCTATTATAATTCATCCCATTTACATAAACAAAATGTTCATAGCTATCAATCTTAAAAGCAGCAATTTCCACCAAAAAAAAAATCTGGAAAAGACAGATATCAGAAAAATAACAGTCTTGTGGCAGTTTTATGAAATCAAATTAGCAATCAAGCACAATTACTCTGTCAAAAGAGAGGGGGGGGAAAGGTGGCAGTAGAGGAAATCTGGATAATCATAGAAATGCTGTGCTAGTAAAAATAATTTTTGCAAATTGAAAACTATTGTGAACACAAGGCTGGCTGCTCTTACTGCTGCCCATTACTGAGGATCAAAATCAGAGATAGAAGTGACTCAGGGAGTGAGCAGGCCAAGACACTCCCAGTCTATAAAAGGTGTGAATGAGCCACACACTCTGACAAGCTTCCACTCTAAAATCCACACAATTATGCAATGATGGTTTTCCAGCACCATGTGCTCCATGAACCATTTCCCAGACTTGGAACATTCATTTCTTTTGTCTTTCACCATTTTTTAAAGCTTAACTGCTGGCCTGCTCAGTTAAGTCAGCATGAAAGTTGCACACTGGAG